GGGAATATAGAAGAGGACAGATAGACATCTACAGAGATGGATGAGAGGACGGCCAGGATAGGGGAGAGGACAGATTGACATATACAGGAATGGTAGAGGAAAGGACAGACAGAGGTGTGCAGGTGCACAGGGATGGAAGAGAGGACAGACGGAGGTGTACAGGTGTGGAGGAGAGGACAGACGGAGGGGCACAGGGATGGAGGAGAGGGCAGACGGAGGTGTACAGGGATGGAGGAGAGGGCAGACGGAGGTGTACAGGGATGGAGGAGAGGGCAGACGGAGGTGTACAGGGATGGAGGAGAGGGCAGACGGAGGTGTACAGGGATGGAGGAGAGGGCAGACGGAGGTGTACAGGGATGGAGGAGAGGGCAGACGGAGGTGTACAGGGATGGAGGAGAGGGCAGACGGAGGTGTACAGGGATGGAGGAGAGGGCAGACGGAGGTGTACAGGGATGGAGGAGAGGGCAGACGGAGGTGTACAGGGATGGAGGAGAGGGCAGACGGAGGTGTACAGGGATGGAGGAGAGGGCAGACGGAGGTGTACAGGGATGGAGGAGAGGGCAGACGGAGGTGTACAGGGATGGAGGAGAGGGCAGACGGAGGTGTACAGGGATGGAGGAGAGGGCAGACGGAGGTGTACAGGGATGGAGGAGAGGGCAGACGGAGGTGTACAGGGATGGAGGAGAGGGCAGACGGAGGTGTACAGGGATGGAGGAGAGGGCAGACGGAGGTGTACAGGGATGGAGGAGAGGGCAGACGGAGGTGTACAGGGATGGAGGAGAGGGCAGACGGAGGTGTACAGGGATGGAGGAGAGGGCAGACGGAGGTGTACAGGGATGGAGGAGAGGGCAGACGGAGGTGTACAGGGATGGAGGAGAGGGCAGACGGAGGTGTACAGGGATGGAGGAGAGGGCAGACGGAGGTGTACAGGGATGGAGGAGAGGGCAGACGGAGGTGTACAGGGATGGAGGAGAGGGCAGACGGAGGTGTACAGGGATGGAGGAGAGGGCAGACGGAGGTGTACAGGGATGGAGGAGAGGGCAGACGGAGGTGTACAGGGATGGAGGAGAGGGCAGACGGAGGTGTACAGGGATGGAGGAGAGGGCAGACGGAGGTGTACAGGGATGGAGGAGAGGGCAGACGGAGGTGTACAGGGATGGAGGAGAGGGCAGACGGAGGTGTACAGGGATGGAGGAGAGGGCAGACGGAGGTGTACAGGGATGGAGGAGAGGGCAGACGGAGGTGTACAGGGATGGAGGAGAGGGCAGACGGAGGTGTACAGGGATGGAGGAGAGGGCAGACGGAGGTGTACAGGGATGGAGGAGAGGGCAGACGGAGGTGTACAGGGATGGAGGAGAGGGCAGACGGAGGTGTACAGGTGTGGAGGAGAGGACTGAAGGACATATACAGGAACAGTGGACAGGCGGACGTGTACAGGGATGGTAGAGTAGAGGACAGGTGGACGTGTCCTGGATAGAGAAGACGACACATAGAGATATACAGGAACAGTAAAGGAGAGGACAGACGAACATTTCCAGCAATAGAGCAGAGGACGGACAGACGTGTACAGGTGTGGAGGGGAGGACAGAACAGACGCACATGTACAGGTATATAGGAGAAGGCCGATGGGCATATATAGGAACAGTTGGGGACAGGGCAGACATACGTGTACAGGGACAGTAGAGGAGAGTATGATGGACAAGGACAGACGGACGTGTCCGGGATAGAGAAGAGAACAGATAGACATATACAGGAACGGTAGAGGAGAGGACAGACGGATGTATCCAGGCTTGGAGGAGAGGACAGACGGATGTGTACAGGTATGGAGGAGAGGACAGATGGATGTGTACAGGTATGGAGGAGAGGAGAGATGGACATTCTCAGCGATAGAGCAAGGGACAAACAGACATTTACATAGTAGGAGGAGGTGTACAGGGATGGAGGAGAGGACAGACGGAGGTGTACAGGGATGAAGGAGAGGACAGGCGGAGGTGTACAGGTGTGGAGGAGAGGACAGGCGGAGGTGTGGAGGAGAGGACAGAAGGAGGTGTACAGGGATGGAGGAGAGGACAGGCGGAGGTGTACAGGTGTGGAGGAGAGGACAGACGGAGGTGTACAGGGATGGAGGAGAGGACAGGCGGAGGTGTACAGGTGTGGAGGAGAGGACAGATGGAGGTGTACAGGGATGGAGGAGAGGACAGATGGAGGTGTACAGGTATGGAAGAAAGGACAGACGCAGGTGTGGAGGAGGGGACAGGCAAAGGTGTACAGGTGTTGAGGAAAGCGACAGACGCAGGTGGACAGACGGAGGTGGACAGGACAGACGGAGGTGTACAGGGGTGGACAGGACAGACAGAGGTGTGGAGGAGAGGACAGGCAGAGGTGTACAGGGGTGGACAGGACAGACACAGGTGTGGAGGAGGGGACACACAGGTGTGGAGGAGAGGACAGGCAGTGGTGTACAGGGATGGAGGAGAGGACAGACACAGGTGTGGAGGAGAGGACAGAGGGAGGTGTACAGGGATGGAGGAGAGGACAGACGGAGGTGTACAGGTGTGGAGGAGAGGACAGAGGGAGGTGTACAGGTGTGGAGGAGAGGACAGAGGGAGGTGTACAGGTGTGGAGGAGAGGACAGAGGGAGGTGTACAGGTGTGGAGGAGAGGACAGACTGAGGTGTGGAGGAGAGGACAGACGGAGGTGTACAGGTGTGGAGGAGAGGACAGAGGGAGGTGTACAGGTGTGGAGGAGAGGATAGACGGAGGCATACAGGTGTGGAGGAGAAGCAGATGGAGGTGTACAGGTGTGGGGGGAGAGGACAGATGGATGTGTACAGGTGTGGGGGACAGACAGAGGTGTACAGGTGTGGGGGAGGGGACAGGTGGGGGGAAGAGGACAGATTGTGTAATGGCTTATAATAATTTTCATGTTCATTTCCAGCCAGCAGGTGGAGCTCTAAACTTGTTTTGACGTCTTTACCTGACTATTTGTAGCTGCTGTTTACAGTGCTCAGTAGCTCAAGCTACAATTTACACAAACAAATGAATTGGTCAGAACAGTGTTTCTTTCTCCTCTCCAACACAACTGAGCACCACGCTGTGTACATTCTATCTAGTATACAGCAGAGCACACTGCGCAGCAGTATGGGATGCGTACAGCCTGATGTGGGTAATTGGCAAAGTTTTCAGAGTATGTAATGTATAACACGGCATACAGAGTGCAGTGGTCTGGAGTATGTGAAATGCAGCACAGCATACAGAATGCAGCTGTTAGGCAACCTCAGGCTCTGCAGCTGTGCTGAAACTACAAAGCCTGTCATGCCTGTAGCTGTCAGATTCTTGCAATGCCTCATGGGATGTGTAGTTCCACAACAGCTGGTGGTCCAAGGTTGCCTACCTCTGGTATTGAGTATGCATTATGCAGGATAGTGTACAGAGCACAGTGGTGTATGTAATGCACAGCACAGAGTGCATCAATCCCCATTACAGCAGTGGAGAAGCGCTCTTTACTTTACCAATGAGCGGAGAGACATCCCCTAAAATTGGGGTCCAGTTAAGAGGGGTACCCTTAGATCGCTGGCCATTGGAGAGGTGCTCTCCCTTAGATCGCTGGCCAGTGGAGAGGTGCTCTCCCTTAGATCGCTGGCCAGTGGAGAGGTGCTCTCCCTTAGATCGCTGGCCATTGGAGAGGTGCTCTCCCTGAGGTGATGGAGATTGAATGGGCTGTTTAGGTTTGTCCTCATATTATATCGATTGTATAGTGCAGGACTGGACAATTCCCAGGAGCCAGATGGCCAATATGCCTTAAAAGCAAGCAAGGTTACCCTAAATGAGGGCAATTTCCATCCTCAAGGGTCAGAGTACTTCCTGCTGTGCTTGAGAAATCAGTTGGGAGAGGGATTGCTTAAACTGGCCATACTCTATACCGGAGGTGGACATATTAATAAGGAATCCAGGGGCCAGTCTGTCCAATCCAGGGGACAGCTCCATTTACAATGACTAGAGAAAACTTCAAAAGTTAGGGCGCCAGCTGTTAATTTTTAAGGCACATTGGCGACCTGGCTGCTGGGATTTGTCCAGCCCGGCATTGAAGCTCTTCGTAGTTGGCTACTTCAGTTTGCAGCCATTGGCTACTTCAGTTTGCAGCCATCAGATGGTGCCTACTATCAACGCATGGGTGTAGTTCACGTCTATCATCTGACCCTGGCTACAGTGTGTAGATCAGAGGAGGTAAACTTCAGTCCTCCAGCTGTGGTGCAGTTACAAATCCCATGAGCCACAGCCATGACTTCCAGATGCAGAATGGGATTTGTAGTTTTACCACAGCTGGAGGGCTGGAGTTTTCCTACCCCTGGTGTAGCTCAAGAATCTGGACTTCATTGCCTGCTTTCTTATTCTGGGTTGATGACAAAGCATGGGTAAGGCTGATGGCCCGGAGAACCCTCCATCTTTCCCATATTACTCTCCTTACAGGTCCATTTAAAGGAAGGAAAATCATATTTAAAGTGTATGTACACCCGAACAATGAATGTCTGGTAAATATACCAATGAAAGGGCAAAAAAAAAAAACCTGTTGATCCTGCCAGAAATCTTGTAAGATAACGTCCTATTCTCTCTGCCTGTGCTGCACTCTGATCAGTCAGTATTATTCCCAGTTCACCTCTGTGGACTACAGAACCTCTCCCCCAGAAAGTGTAGTCCTAATACATTTTCTGTCCTAGAGTGACAACACTGCTCCTCCGTAGATGCAGTAAAGTGAGTTAGCGTTGTCACCCTAGGACAGGAAGTGTGTTACTGGCAGGAAAAACGAAAACTAACGCCGCCACCACATCTAAGGACAGGTAATCTGCAGTATATTATATTTTTGTTCTTGGGTTTAGATATATTGTAATGCCACCCTTGTGCTTTAATATGACCCCTCTAGATCAGAGTCAGTTGGTTTGATTTGAATGAGCTGCTGCCTCTGCTTATTTCATGCTGACGCTTCTTTCTGCTTTCCCTTTCAGATTTTTGTATCCTTCGCCTGCTGCTAATACAGAGGGACCCTAGAAGACGCCATGTTTCGCTTCATGAGGGACACCGAGCCACAAGACCCAGCAATGTTCCTTATGTAAGTGCGCCTACATAATCAACTGGCTTCCATTAACCCTTTCGCTGCCACTGGCGTATCTCATACGTCGCCAGCAGCTGACCCCTATTTGTTTATATGGTCTCATTCACACAGGAATCAGCCGGCACGTGCACCTCCGTGCTGCGTGCACGGCCATATCGGGCAGCTCCCGGGAAGGACAGGCGCTGCGTGTGATTAGTACGCAGCCCCCGTCCTTCTCTGTGGGACTACGCGGCCGTACGCCCTCCCATGCTCACCCCAAGTTCAGGTCCGTACGGGTGTGTGTTTCCTGGCTCGGGCGCAGACTGGATGGATCCTGTTAACGTACGAGTACGCTCACCCGCACGTACGTGCAGGGCAGGGGGGCGTACGGCCGCATACTCTCATAGAGAAGGACGGGGGCTGCGTACTAATCACACGCAGCACCTGTCCTTCCCGGGAGCTGCCCGATACGGCTGTGCACGCAGCACAGAGCTGTACGTGCCGGCCGATTCCTGTGAAATGAGGCCGAAGTGTAATTCTGACACTGAAACTGATTCGGACTACTGATCTGAATGAAACCAGAAGCGACGATGATGTCAACACTTCCTGAGCTGTCATTCCCTGGCTAGAGGGGCCGGGGAGGAAACTGATCAAGCATGAGATGTTTTACAAAAATAAAGTTATATAAATAAGTTTAAAAACACCCAAAAAAACTATTTTCAAGTCCCCGTGTACATGCACATGCTAACACAAACACGCCACAGGTGCGCCTATGTACCAAAACGACAGTTGTGCCACGCGTTTGGTATCGCTGTGTATGCTAAAGAGTGAGAGCAATTATTCTAGGGCCAATATTCACAAATAACTCCAAACTGATGACCAGTACAGGCTTCTAAAGCGCCGACTAGCGATGCACCGATACTAGTATCGATGCCGAGGATTTGGGCAAGTACTCGTACTCGCCCAAATGCGCCGATGCCTAGCCCGATACTTCCGGTATTGTTTTGAACCCCTAATATGGTATGCCCCTTTATACAGGTCCTGTATTTCCCATAGTGGTTGTTTGTAAATAAAGACAACCTTTCACAATAATTTATGCATTATAGGCATGTATATGGCGGCGACAATTTATGCAGTGCTTTACTTATTGCACATTCACATCTGTCCCTGCCCTCGTGGAGCTTACAATCTAAGGTCCCTATCTCACATACATAGAGGGCCAAATTTAGACGGGAAGCAATGAACCTACCAGCATGTCTTTGGAGTGTGGGAGGAAACCCACACAAGCACAGAGAACATGCACACTCCTTGCATATAGCGTCCTGACCTGAGATTTGAACAGAGACATCCAGTCCAGCGCTGCAAGGCAGAAGCGCTAACCACTACGCCGCTGCGCTGTATTTAATTAAAAATAATGCATCAGGAACACTTCTACCTGCCAAATGATTTCTAATATGAGGTGTATATAATATATTCAACTGCCAAGTGCTGCTGCTGGTGTGCGTCGTAAAGGAGTAGGGATTTGCAGGGGGTTGGTGCGAACCCAGTTCAACCATGTCCCTGAAAAAGTGTGACTGACACACCCTGCTCTCAGCCCAGTCAGTTGCAGTGGGGCATTTCCTGGCTCTTTGTGACGTGATTGGGCCAGGAGGGGGGGATGAAGTAACAGTTATGTGGAGGCTTAAGTGAAATGGGTTTGCCCCAAAAATGGGAAAGTGGTGCAGAATGAGAGAGGCAAACAAGAAAGGCATTCTTATGTCCTCACTTCTGGTCCCATGGACAATGGCACTTCTGACCTTCACTTTTTATTCTCTGTAGGGATCCCTTTGCCCTTCATCGTCAACATATGAGACGCATGTTTTCCGGGAGTTACGGGATGTCTCCGTTCCTGAGCCTGACGGATGGAAGCGTACCTTCTCTTCCTCGTTCAGGAGCCCCTCGTGACATGCAGGTAAGACCTAGAGGTTTCATGGGTATTTAGTAGGGATGCACGGATACCGATACTAGTATCGGTGCCGATACCGAGTATTTGGGTAAGTACCCAAATTCTCCCGATACCGGAACTTCCGGTATCGGAAAGCTGGGCAGCAAGTCATTACACGCCCCTGATTGGCCGAGAAGCTGGCTCCATGCTCCATCATCATTTGGTGACGAGGGAGCATGGAGCCGGCTTCCCGGCCAATCAGGAAGCCGGGCAGCGTGTAATAACTTGCCGCTTAAATTTCTGATTGGCCAAGGAGCTGGCCAATCCGGAAGTTGGGCGGCGAGTCGTTACTCGCCCCCCGGCTTTCTGATTGGCCAGACTGCCGTCGCCATGCTTCCTTGTCACCTGGTAATGAGGGAGCATGGAGCCGGCTTCCTGACTACTCAGGAAGCCAGGGGGCAGGTAGTGACTCACCACCCAGCTTCCCAACCAATCAGGAAGCCTGGAGGTGAGTGCTTACACGCCGCCCAGCTTCCTTAACGCGACTTCCAGTATCAATATTCGCTGTCAGCGAGTACTAAAGAAAAAATATCGGTACTCGTACGCTTTACCCAAAAAACGGTATCGGTGCATCCATAGTGTTTAGAGTTAGCTCATACCTCAACGCATGTAGAGTTAGGTTCATATTAATGTGTGTTGCCGTAAAGGTTAACAGTGACCATGTTTGATATTTAGGGTGTAACATGAAGCATGGTCACATTTAGCAACTCCCCACTCCCACACCTTCAACCCGCCCCATTCCCTCCCACTTAGCCGAATTGCTGGATGCTCCTTCCTGCAGAAATCTGTTATTCTTTGAATTTACTGCTGTGCCCACACAGGCACGTCATCCAGCCTGTTAATGTACACATACAGTCACTATCTGCCACCACGGAAGATGGACTCTGCACAGTGTCAGCAATGCCTCTCCTATAGTTCAAGCTGCACTTGCCCCAGCAGGTCCATACCTGCATACAGACCTAAGGCAGAGGGAAGACTTTGCAAGAGCCTGTGCTTTGTGCCCTCAACACACTGACCACTGGTTCAATGCTCCGCAAACTTTTAATTTTGTGCATAAGGTGGCCTGTCACTTTAAAGTCCAATTGAACTGTCTGTTTAAATTGTCTTAAAAGAGAACTATGGGGTAACCTTTTTATCCCATAGTTTTAATTAGGGTCACAGGAGGACATAAACTAGCGTCCTCCCGTGACCCAAAGCTCAGTATATAGCGGGCTATTTCTATATACTGAGAGCGCCGCAGCCGGGACGGATCCCGACAATACTGTCGAGATCCACCCAGCTGGCTGATTGACAGCTGGCTCTGCCTATCGAGATCGATGGGCTCAGTGGGTTTTTTCTTTTTTTGATTGGACAGCTTGGACCAATGGCGCTTTGCCATTGGTCCAAGCCATCCACAGAGCTCAAGCCTCTAACATTAAGATTAGAGGCTGTGACAGCTCTTTCCACAATACTTAGGTTACACAGCAGAGGGCTTCCCCACTGCTTGTGTAACCTAACTACCTGTCAAAAGCCAGATGCAGCGCCACCTGTAATTAACAGGCAGCGCTCCGTCCATGACAGGTTACACAGCAGGGAGGATTTCCCTGCTTTGTAACCTGATAGAAGCCAATCTGAATGGAGAAAAAGCTGTCAGCTTCAGACTTGAAGCTGACAGCTTTTTCCTCCATAATACTAGGTGAGGCTCTGCCTCCCCTGACCGCACATCCCTGGTCTGCAGTAGGGTGTGAACAAGCCCATGTGAGCACACAGCATGTATATTGAAGTCTGAGTACACATGGTAATGTTATGACTTGAAGATCAAAAACTATTTGCACACAGATCAGTTCTGAGGGTTTACAAACGTACGCTCACAGATGTGTGTGTACTGGGAGTGTGGTTGTGTGTACTGTGAGTAGGTATGATGGACCCACAATGTGTTTTGGGTCAGATACATAATGCATGGCTCTTTTAGGTGATTTGTGTTCTGTCCTCTTATGTATAGGAATTCCATCTCATGATACCTTTTGTTCTCTTTCTATGTTTCTATCCACTGCTGTAAATCACCGGGCCCCCCTTGGCTTCCAGGCTGGTGCCTTATCACCATTCGGTATGATGGGCATGGTAAGTGTTTATATTGATTATGGTCACTCCTATAATTTCTCTCTTAAACTTCCTGTTTGTAAACCATGTCAAACTCCGAATGGCAATGCTTACCAATTGCCTAAGCATGCGATTTAGATGAAAATGTGGAAACGTATACATCAATAGTCTTTTTAGGTCATGATCGCTCTGTTGGCTCTTCTCCCCCCGAGCTCCGAGGGCTGTGGGGGAAATAACAAAACAATGCACGACGCAAGGCACCAATGTCACACATCTCCGGAGCTCTACAGCTCTTTGGAGACAGGCAGAAGCATCCTCAGGCTGGGATAATTGACATCCCTTGACACTCATTGCCTACACTGTGCAAACTCCCTACAGGAACTTCTGCCAGTCTGCAGCTAGGAACAGGATGGGAGGTGTGTGTGTCTGTATTATCCCAGGCAGACTAATAAAGTGTGCAGGATGCCATATATCCATACGGCATTCTATACTGCAGAAGCGATGGGCGGCTCAACCACGAGAAACCAGGAAGCAATCTGGCCTTTTCATTATTGTTATCAGGAAGGAAGTAGAAGCTGCTTGCAGGATCACCAGCAAATTGGGACACAAATTAGAGTAATGGTCACATTGTGATTAATTATTATTGCCAGACAGAAACTTTATCTGTAAAATGTTAATGTGGGTTTACTGACACACTAAGGTTATTGTAAAAGTATTAACCCAATCAACACCAGTTTGGGAAGGATGCTACAAGCTCTTCCTAAATTAAAGGAGAACTATGGGGTCAGTGTTTTCTCCCATAGTTCTCCTAAGGGACACAAACTAGCGTCCTCCCGTCACCCTAAGCTCAGTATACAGCGTGCTACAGCTCGCGGTATACTGAGATGCCGCAGCTGAAACGGATCCCGACAATTATGTCTGGATCCGCCCAGCTGCGTGAGTGACAGCTGGCTCTGCCTATCTAGAGGCAGAGCCAGCTGTACCCACCCCCCCGTCCGTTCCGCCAGTCAGCGCTGGAGGATCGGAGGGGGGAATCCAGTCCCTTCCCTGTCACGGCTCTCTACAGCCCAGCAATCAGCAAGGGAAATGAGCTGTGAGTAATAGCTGTCACTCTGTGAGGGGTCAAGCAGAGGGCCACTGCTTCCACAACTTAAAGGAGAACTATGAGGTGAGTGATTTTCACTCAGCCTCATAATCTGAGCCGACCTGTGACAATGAAACTGTCACAGGTCGGCTCAGTAGATCGGGAAGTGAGCGAACACATACCGTCGCTCGCTCACTTCTCGATCTATCCCTGCAGAGAGCCGTGACTGTCACTCACAGCTCCCTGCAGGGATTCCCCCCCTCCCCGCTCCGATCCTCCAGCTCTGACTCACGGGACGGAGGAGGGGGCGGGTGCAGCTGGCTCTGCCTCTGGATAGGTAGAGCCAGCTGTCAATCCCGCAGCTGGGTGGAGCTTTGGGTGACGGGGGGGCGCTAGTTTGTGTTCTCTCGTGACCCTTATAAGAACTAAAGGGAAAAGCCCTGACCCCATAGTTCTCCTTTTAACTCTTCTCTCAAGTGAGGCTTTAATCGATGCTTGCCCACATTCTGTATGACATAAAGGAAATCTGCAGCATGATTGTAGAATCTGTCGGAGTAAGTGACTGTGCGCACACGCATCAAAAGGTTGTTTAACTTGCTTTGCCAGTAGTACAGATGGAAAGCAATAGGACCCGCTGAGACCGAAACAAAGAGTGAAGCAGTTGTAGAACTGTAATATACGCTGTACCATTAAAGTGACACTAAACTCCGGAGTTGAATCTTAAAAATGCATCAAAGTAACTTATAGTGACATTAAACCCTCAGATTTTTTTAACATGAAACAATACTGTAATGTGCGGCTTACTGTAATCCATGGTAGTTTCTCTTCTCTTTGCTGCTCTTCCTTTTAAATCTGTATCTGTTCTCATGCTGGGCAGAACTTCTGTTTTGCAGCAGACTGCCTTGTCTCTGGAATGGATACATGGTGTCTGTGTCTAGGTTTGCAACCTGAGCCAGCACTACAGGAAGAGGCACTCAGCTGCAAAGGGAAGTTCTCCCCAAGCATGAGAAGACATGAGGATTTAAAAGGAAGAGCAGCAAAGAGAAGGGAAACTACCATGGATTACAGTAAGGCACACATTATAGTATTGGTGTATGTTAAAAAATCTGAGGGTTTAATGTCACTTTAACTAACAATACTGGACCGTGTTTGTGTATGACTCGGCTGTAGATCTTCAAATCATCTCTGAATTGGTGCTGACACTGTCCTTCCTTCTGGAGGGGGGCTACTTCTGTTCCCCATGGTCCCTGCATATGTTGTAGAGTAGTCACCGCTCCAAGCTCGCTCCCGTGATGGACTACAATCTCATGTTTAGTTTACTAATTTGTACTGAGATTGTAGTCCATCCCGGGAGGGAGCTTGGAGCGGTGACTACTTTACAACACACACAGGGACCATGGGGAACAGACGTAGCCCCCCTCCAGAAGGAAGGACAGTGTCAGCACCAATTCAGAGATGATTTGAAGATCTACAGCCGAGTGATACACAAATACGGTCCAGTATTGTTAATAGTTAAGTTACTTTGATGCATTTTTAAGATGTAACTCTGGAGTTTAGTGTCAATTTAATGGTACAGCGTATATTACAATTCTACAACTGCTTCACTCTTTCTTTCAGCTGCAGTGGGTTCTATTGCATTCCATCTGTACTACTGGGAATCTGCCGAGCTGTGTATAATGTGCTGGTCAAATGCTGGGGAAAAAAAGCCTTAACACTACTTGTGCCAGGCAGCATAGAGTTCAAGGTGTGATTGAGTTGGAGCAGTTTCCAGTTGTATAGCAACACTTCTAACTTTGTTCCTCTCTTTAGGGGGGCGGATTCATGGACATGTTCGGATTGATGAATGATCTCATGGGAGGTATGGTGAGTATGTATGCATCTTACTTCTTTCTGCTATCCTCTACTCCAGCGCCTCCAGAGGGGGGTCCTTGTAGACTAAGCTATCATTTCTTTCTTAATATATCTCCTTTCCAGTCACTTGGAATAAAACTGCAGCCAAAGGAACAATTACACACTTCAAATAGATATGCTATATGGCCAACGGTTTGGGGACGCCGGACCATCACACCTCTGAGCTTGTTGGACAATCCGTTCTAGAATCATGGGCATTAATATAGAGTTGGCTCCCTATAGCAGCCCCCTCTCTTCTTGGAAGGCTTCCCACAAGATTTTGGGGTGTGTCTGTGACAATTTGTGCCCATTTAGCCAAAAAGAGTATTTGTGAGGTCAGGTTTGATGTTGGCTGAGAATACCTGGCTCACAATTAGCATTCCAGTTAATCCCAAAGGTGTTCAGTGGGGCTAGTGGTCAGTACTCTCAAGTCCCGCCACACCAAATTGGTCAAACCATGTGGAGCTGACTTTGTGCATAGGGATATAGTCATCCTGGAACAGAAAAGAGCCTTCGCCAAACTGTTGCACACTAGGGATGTACCGATACAGAGTATTTGGGCGAGTACTCGTACTCAATACTTCCTGTATCAGGAAGCCGGGCAGCGTGTAATGACACGCTGCTTGGCTTCCTGATTGGCGCCGTGTAATGGCGCTGGGCCTGGCTTTCTGATTGGCCGGGAAGCCGGCTTCATGCTCCCTCATCATCTCATGACAAGACATGACAAGGGAGCTTCCCGGCCAATCAGGAAGCAGGGCACCGCATCATTACACTGCGCCCGGCTTCCATGATTGGCCAGCGAGCCGGCTCCATGCTTTCTCGTCACATAGTGACGCATGGGACGGCTTCCTTGTTAATCGGGAAGCCGAGTGGCGAGTCTTTACATGCCGCCTGGCTTCCTGAATGGGACTTCCGGTACTCGGTATTTGTTATCGGCAAGTACCAGAAAAAGAAATATCGGTACTCCTACTCGGTGCATCCCTACAGCACATAAATGTCTAAAATGTCTTTGTATGTTGTAGCATCAACCGGACCCTTCATCAGAAACCCCCCACACTCGATCATTCGAAGAGGCGTCCACATACCTTTGGCCATAAAGTGTGAACTGATTTCTTTCAGTAGTGCAGTTAAGCTTCAGTTAACTGCACTACAGCTTCAGCTGCAGTTAAGTGCAGAGAGTGTGAGTGATTCACACTCTCTTGCCACACTGCATAGCTGTGGTCCAGCATCACTGTTCTGAGTCTGCGGCGTCCTGTGCCACCTCCCTGCCTCCAGCTCCCTCATTGGACTATAAACGAGTACATTGGCGAGATTTTCTCCTCGCACTTCTCCGCTTAAGCACTTCTTTTCCTTTTGAGCCTGCAATGCCTGAAACATGTTTAATTTTCAGCACAGAGCAGCCTTTGATATTACCGCCTGGATGGTCTTATCTGTCCGTTGCAGTTCCTTTTTTTTTTCAGCTGTAAAATCCTTCTTTTGGTTTTTCTCAATTACATGTCCGCAATCTCCTCGTCTGTGCCGGAGATTATGGGAGCGTTTCAGAGAGATTTCCGGCAAATGTACCAGTAACATTTACAAAGCGCAGCTGGACCAAATACTTATTGTTTTACATTTATGTTTTTGCTTTGCCGTTTGACTTTATAGATAAACTCGATGCAGATATAAAAGTGCCATTAAATCCAACAAGTCTTCATTAGAGAACAGTGATAAGTAGATGTAAGCCCCAACTGGAAGACATTTACTTTGCTGTTGCGCTGCGCATCATAAACAGTTGTCGCGGGTTGTTTTTTTTTTATTTTCCGTAAAACAATTTTCATCCTTTGTTGTATCTCAGTGCTGCCAATCTCCTGCAGCCGTTTCCTGTCTACGTACACAACAGCGCCTGTCATTGCTCAGCTTCCGGATCCTTGAGAAAGTGGGAGATCACCAGCACTCAAATGATATTGTTTCAAATCGTCGTGTGTACATTGGTACCTCGGTTCAGGAACAATTCGGTTCCCGACCAGGAAGTTCGTCAAAATTTTGCCTCCGTTCGCGAACTCTGCCTTGGGTGACGAACAGGACCCCGGCCATCTTCCCTGCTCTGACACATGGTCGTGGCTTCCTGTACTCGAGATCGCGGTCGCAGACAGGGCTGTGGACACTTACTGTGAAGCTTTTTTTGTGTGCTTTGTAGCACAGTACTGTACAGTATTACTGCATTCAATCCAGCATGGCTCCCAAGAAAGCGCAGAGAAAGCATGGTGTGGGAAAGAAAGCACAGAGCATTAATGGAGGTGACAAGAATGTGCAGAGCATTAATGAAGGTGACAAGAACGTGCAGAGCATTAATGAAGTTGACAAGATTGTGCTGAGCGTTATTGAACGTGACAAGAATGTGCAGAGCGTTAATGAAGGTGACACGAATGTGCAGAGCGTTAATGAAGGTGACAAGAATGTGCAGAACGTTAATGAAGGTGACCAGAATGTGCAGAGCATTAATGAATGTGCAGAGCGTTAATGAAGGTGACACGTATGTGCAGAGTGTTAATGAAGGTGACAAGAATGTGCCGAGCATTAATGAAGGTGACACGTATGTGCAGAGCGTTAATGAAGGTGACATGTATGTGCAGAGTGTTAATGAAGGTGACAAGAATGTGCAGAACGTTAATGAAGGTGACCAGAATGTGCAGAGCATTAATGAAGGTGACACGAATGTGCAGAGCGTTAATAAAGGTGACAATGTGCAGAGCGTTATTGAAGGGGACAAGAATGTGCAGAGCGTGAATGAAGGTGACAAGAATGAGCAGAGCGTTAATGAAGGGGACAAGAATGTGCAGAGCGTGAATGAAGGTGACAAGAATGAGCAGAGCGTTAATGAAGGGGACAAGAATGTGCAGAGCGTGAATGAAGGTGACAAGAATGAGCAGAGCGTTAATGAAGGGGACAAGAATGTGCAGAGCGTGAATGAAGGTGACAAGAATGAGCAGAGCGTTAATGAAGGGGACAAGAATGTGCAGAGCGTGAATGAAGGTGACAAGAATGAGCAGAGCGTTAATGAAGGGGACAAGAATGTGCAGAGCGTGAATGAAGGTGACAAGAATGAGCAGAGCGTTAATGAAGGGGACAAGAATGTGCAGAGCGTGAATGAAGGTGACAAGAATGAGCAGAGCGTTAATGAAGGGGACAAGAATGTGCAGAGCGTGAATGAAGGTGACAAGAATGAGCAGAGCGTTAATGAAGGGGACAAGAATGTGCAGAGCGTGAATGAAGGTGACAAGAATGAGCAGAGCGTTAATGAAGGGGACAAGAATGTGCAGAGCGTGAATGAAGGTGACAAGAATGAGCAGAGCGTTAATGAAGGGGACAAGAATGTGCAGAGCGTGAATGAAGGTGACAAGAATGAGCAGAGCGTTAATGAAGGGGACAAGAATGTGCAGAGCGTGAATGAAGGTGACAAGAATGAGCAGAGCGTTAATGAAGGGGACAAGAATGTGCAGAGCGTGAATGAAGGTGACAAGAATGAGCAGAGCGTTAATGAAGGGGACAAGAATGTGCAGAGCGTGAATGAAGGTGACAAGAATGAGCAGAGCGTTAATGAAGGGGACAAGAATGTGCAGAGCGTGAATGAAGGTGACAAGAATGAGCAGAGCGTTAATGAAGGGGACAAGAATGTGCAGAGCGTGAATGAAGGTGACAAGAATGAGCAGAGCGTTAATGAAGGGGACAAGAATGTGCAGAGCGTGAATGAAGGTGACAAGAATGAGCAGAGCGTTAATGAAGGGGACAAGAATGTGCAGAGCGTGAATGAAGGTGACAAGAATGAGCAGAGCGTTAATGAAGGGGACAAGAATGTGCAGAGCGTGAATGAAGGTGACAAGAATGAGCAGAGCGTTAATGAAGGGGACAAGAATGTGCAGAGCGTGAATGAAGGTGACAAGAATGAGCAGAGCGTTAATGAAGGGGACAAGAATGTGCAGAGCGTGAATGAAGGTGACAAGAATGAGCAGAGCGTTAATGAAGGGGACAAGAATGTGCAGAGCGTTAATGAAGGTGACAAGAATGTGCAGAGCTTTAATGAAGGCGACAAGAATGTGCAGAGCCTTAATGAAGGCGACAAGAATGTGTTAAGGTCTGGAACTCACTGCCACACTGCCACAAGCAGTGGTATCACCTGATAGTATTGAATCATTCAAAAAGCATTTAGATCCCTTCCTCAGAGACTGTAACATACAGGTACTCTTTAAAAACAACGTCGCACAGGGGCTCGTATATATACACGCACGCACAATCACACATAGGCATATACACAATGGGTTAAACTTGATGGGCCCGTGTCTTTATTCAACATCAAATACCATGTAACTATGTATATCGTTTGAATGCTGGTAATCTTCCACTTTCTCAAGCCATCCGTGTTCATCACTACGAGCAGCAGATCATCTACCAGTTGTAGACGCTGAAAGGAGTGCAGGGGACGTATCTGTATACTTTGCAAAACCGGTATCGGCGCATCCCTACCTTAAAGTGAAGGGAAAATGTCTCTGCCGGTTTGCTTGAGACGGATATGTCCACGTTTAAGTTGCATTCTAGGTGCATTTTCTGCCAGGTCTTTGAGACCAGATCATCTGCGCTGGATCAGTCCTGTGTCAGTGCTCCGGGGTCAGGGCCATCAGACGTAGTTGAAGGCTCAATTTCAACAAAGGTTCTTTACCCGAGTTTAGGGACGTAGCAGTAAGAAAGGAGCCACTATGTAGACTGATTGGTTTAAATAGTAAATAAAAGTAAATCACCGGCACACACTTTAAAAACCCTTCAAGTATTGATATGTTTATTCAATACCCAATGTCACATGCAGTCATACTGTGTCACTGACCATGGTGTCACTCGCTCTGATGATGGATCCCTGTGCGGACCCGAAACGTTAGCACCGTATGACAGCATGTGACATTGGGTATTGAATAAACATATCAATACATTAAAAACCCTTCAAG